TATATATATATATATATATATATTATTTTCATTCTTTTAAAACCGTCACGTGATAATAAAATCCGATCTTGAATCCATACTCCATCGCCATCCAAACAGCCGCAAACTTGTGTGCCTCAAATTTTAAAATTTTAAATTATATTATATAAATAAATACTCAAAATTTTAAATAAGTATTCTAATAACACTATTATTATACATGTAATGAATATTCTAACTGTGAATCAGCTTTCAGAAACTTTTTTTGAGACTAGTCTTTCATAAAAAAAAATTAAAATTTGAATAAGACATACTTTGAATGGTAGAAAGATGCTTTATGAATGAATAAGCCTTCTAAATGATAATTACAAAAATAACACGTATTAAGAAACAAAGTTATGCTTAATTTAAATGTTTCTTTCGTTTAATCTAAAGAAATTCCCGCCACATGAGACACGTCATCACGGTGGGCTCAGACATTGGAAAAGAATACGGGATTTCAGACGTCTTACAAACTAATGGGCCTGACATATGGGCCCATGTTTCCTTTTCAAGAAAGCCTTATATTATTCTTCAGATTCGAAATAGCCCAATATCTTTTATAGTTACCAAACAGCCCCTCAATTTTATACTGACCTCACCCACGGCCTCTCTCTCACCACGGATTTGAGTTCTATTGCAAGTTTTCCTTCATGATAGAAATACAGCGACATGCATTCTACCATAATATATTTTTGTAATTTATTTCGAAAATATCATCTAAAAATTTAAACTTATACAAATTCAAATATCTGTATTGTTCAACATATTTTTTTTTAGTGTATTAAAATAAATGTCAAGCCAAGGTTATAGAATGTTAATTATATAGGTACGAACCCATGAAATCATAAACGGAGAGAAAAGAAAAAACGATTGAGCGAGAATCTTTAAAAATGTATATATATATATTTTTTGTTTTCAGAAAATAATAGAAAGCAGCAATTATTTGTTTTAATGCATTTACTGCCAATTACATAATATTCCCGAAAAAACATTTATTTCCATTTTTCGAATTGAAATATTTAATGCAATCATGTGTTACACATTGTAACCCCCTGATTCAAGGCACTACTTCCTTCTTGTCCCCCATCCCTTTTCAAATTTGAAATCGGATTCTACCGTTCCTTCATAAACCCACCCTCCCACCTCCTGAAGATTTTCCTGGAAAAGGAAGAAAACGGTTTTTTCTCGGGAAACAAACAGAGCCATGGCCTCACCTTGGACCATACCAAAGCTTGTCACTTGGAGAGTCAAAGATTGGGCTTCTTGTTTCTTGGCTTGCAAGTTTCCTCTAGGTATCCCTTTATCCTCTAATTGTTTGCCCTAAAATTCTTCCTCTCTGTCTCTGCATCATGAAATTCGAATAATATAAAGCAGAAAATGGCGATGCATGTATTAAAGTAGATTGTATTATTTGTACCGAATCGATATCAAATAAACGATGATGATGATGTTATGAGTGTTATGGTCACATCCCATCCCTAGATCAAATAAAAGTATATATATATATATGTATATGTATATATATATATATAGAATGATATTTTTGTGGGTGTTTCAGACGAAAATGATTGCGGGAATCACAGCAACAACATCATCACGAGTAACAGTAACTACAAGTTCAAGAGGAACAAGAAGAAGATGACGAAAAGCAAGAGAAGAGAGAGGAAACTTAGTTTAAGCCCACCGCCGACACGACACTTCCAACATCTCAGGAACACAACTGCTGGTACGAGGAGCTGCAGTGTTTCTCCGGCAGATCAACGCCGGCTGAGCTGGCCGCCGACTCGGCTCTCAGACGACGGGTTCATCGTCTTCTGCTTCGACCGTGACGACGACGGTTTCTACGTCGTCAAGGAGGATAGCATACCCGACGAAAAGTCCACAAGAACGGTGAATCGTAAGGTTCGTTTGCAAATATTTTTCAGCTGGGTTCTATGGAAATCAAGAATTTAATTTGAATTGTTTCATTTGTTTCGTGTTTCTTCTCCCTTCGAACAGCTTATATACGGGGATCAAGAGGTGAGAAGAGAGGATAAGAACTCGTCGAAGAGGACAGAACATAACAATCAGAAGGATGACAGTTCTTGTCATGGAGATGGCGAGGATGCTTCTTCTGATGTTCATGAGAAGGTATTATGAGGAATATATCATATTGTCTTTTGATCTCAATCTTAGAATTGAAAAGCATGAGCCATCTGTGTTTTTTCCCCCCAAACAGTTGGAGGAAGAAGATGAGTCAGAGGAAGCCAATGCCTCTGGTGGATCCAGCGGATCCAATCCCTCCGATGGAGGCAGAGGATCTTTTGCATTTCCAGTGTAAGCTTCAGCAACAACAAAAAAAGTTTTTTTTCCCCTCTTGTAGATGAAAGGGTATAAATTTATAATTTGAAATGCTTCAGATTGGGAGTAGAGTGGATGGGGAGCCCAGTTCAGATGCCTAAATCAGATGACTTGTGCTCGAAGAAACCAAAGCCTCTCGCGTTAGGGTTCCAATGCTGTAGATTCTGACAAACCCCCAGAAGAAGAAAAGAAAGACAGAACAGTGTGTTCCCTCAAGTTTTTCTGCAATTCTTTAGTTCTACTCTGTCCTGTAAAACTCTTAAAAGCGACTTTTCATTTATACAAATCCGATTTTACATTTCCCGACTTCTTATGCAGAAAAACTCGAGAACCCGGAAATGAAACCAAACAACTCAATTTCAGGGACATATCTATATATCCATTCTGAGTTTTAGCATACATCCTAAAGCAAACAGACAAACAAACAAACAAAGAGTGGTAAATTCCTAGAGATTAGTACCTAACGGCTAGTGACTGCAAGAATTCTCTCGCCTTTGCAGCGGCGGCCAGAGATTCTTCATCTTGTTTTCCACTGCGGTAGCAACAGCTGCAATGCCTTGCTTCTTCCATTTCCCTGAGGTCGTTTTCATCTACATTTCGAAAGACGAAAATTTCAGTACTTCAAATTTGACCCGACTAGAGAAACAACAGTAGCTCGAAATCCAGAATCGACCCTTCATCATCACCAATGATCAAACCTTCTCCAGTTGACAAGTTTGAATGCAGTGTTCAGCAATAAGCCTTATATAGCGCAAGTCAAGAAAAAAAGATGTCAAGCCATGAGTTTTGGACTTACAATAAGGAAGACGGTCGGATTCATATGGTGTCACATCATAATCTCCATCATATTTCTTGGAATCAGTTTTTGCCAAGGCTTCCAATAACCTCATGAATGAGGAGACCTCTCCTTCACAACATGTAGCTGTTCTTGAAGCTCAGTTGCTTCTGTGCCTGACGTCTTTGCTTCCCATTGTCTTCTCAAGGGCCACTTGCTTGGAAGCAAGTTTGATCAAGTGCAAACAAGGACAAATTGACGAACAGCTAGAAATCGAGAGAAAAAGAAAAATTCCGACACGAGTTTGGCTTGGGACATTAACCGTTCTTGATATAGAGGGCAGCCCACCGGTAACCGACAGAGAATTTCAAGAATCCAAAAAAGTATCAACACCTAAAGCAACAAAATTTCTCCATCTTCGTACCCAACGGGTCATACAAAAGAGTGTGAAACACAAATGAAAAACTACAAAGAAGCATAAGAGAAGAGGTTACCTTTTGTGTCAGATAATTGTGACTGCACAGACTTAACGAAAGACCCCTTCTCCCGGACCAAACGCTTCATCTCTTCAAGCTTTGTATGAGTCTCGTTCACTTGATTCTTTGACAGTTCCATTAACTTCATTTCTTCCCTTTCAGTAGTAGTCCAAGCCCTCACACTTCCGTCGTCTTGCTCTTTATTTTCACTCTTAGCATCAGTTTTTGCCTTCAGGGTCTCTTCTCTTTCTTCCTGGGATCGATTGAGAAGCACTCAGCCCCCTCGGATCAGGGACCTTCCAATACAAATGAGACTTCCAAGCATTTGTAAAAGAGGGTAACCCAGAAGTTCATCCAAAATGAAAGAACCATCAACATTTGGTGAGGAAGGATTGAAGATGGAAACCAAAGTTCAAAAACTTGGACACAAGGCATGAACACAGAAACTATTCATCCTGACATCTTTTACCAGACATACCTTAACACTCACATCTATTTAAAGCTAAATATTTATAACCCAAAAAGGAAAAGAGACCAGATAACAAAAGCTCTTTAACTAAGTCTTGTACATAATGACATCGGAGAGAGAGTAGATCAAAGCGCAAGAGAAGTTAGCAAACTCACCATTCTTTCTTTCTGTTGAAAATCATCAAAATCCATCTGAGAAGGGAATCTAAATACTTAATTTCCCAGGAATCTCACATCCAAAAATGCCAAAAATGTGACATTTTTGGTCTTTAAATACATAAAGAAGTGATGCTACAGACAAGGAAACATAACAGAAGTGGGTATCAGTTCCTACAAGAGAGGGAAGACTGGGTCATCTTTGATTTATTCAAGGTGGCTTGCGATTTATTTTAATCGGTGAATCTCGGTTTCGGTTTCCTGATCCGAACCGGTATGGGAACATCAATAACCCGTGTATAAATTTCTCACTGCATCTTCAACTTTCTCGCCTTCCCCGTCGCTCAGAGCTCAAGAAAACGTCCGAGAAAGAGAGAGAGAGAGATTACGATGTAATGAGAGGCACCATCTCGACAAGGTCATTGAAGAGACGGCGATCGAGGTTCCCATTTCCGGAGCTGGTGGCGGCGGAGGACTGGTGAGGCCGCTGGAGAGCCTGGAGTCCGAGTCTCCGACTCCCGAATCGCCTTGCAAATCTAGGAAATGTTGGGGATCATACATACTCTTCGTCCTCTTCCGCCGATAGGTCTGGTTCAGTTACTCTGCGCGACTGATGAAAATGGACGGTTGAGATTGTCTTTTGATATCGAGCGGTTGAGATCAAATTTTCTTTTCGACAGTTCAGATCGGTTGTTACTAATGGACGGTGGAGATGAATAGTCAAATCAACGGTTGCGATTGTTTACAACGAATGGACGGTTGAGATCATTAGTTAGTATCGGACGGTTGAAAATCGAATATAACTTTTCGACGGTGGAGATCGATAGATATAAATGGACGGTTGAGATGATTTTGTTAAATCAACGGCGGGGATTGATCAGTATAAATAGACGGTTGAGATCGGTTGTCAAAATCGAACGGTTAAGATTTAAGTTCTCTTTTCAACGGTTGAGATCGATTGTTACTAATGGACGGTGCAGATGAATTTACAAAATCAACGGTTGTAATTGTTTATTAGGGATGGACGGTTCAGATGAAATTTACTAATGAACGGTTGAGATCATTAGTTAGTATCGGACGGTTAAGATCATTAGTTAGTATCGGACGGTTAAGATCAAAGGAGACTTTTTAACTGTTGAGATCGATTGATGCAATGGACGGTTGAGATGGATTTGTTAAATCAACGGCAGAGATTAATCAGTATAAATGGACGGTTGAGATCGCCTGTTATTATCCAACGGTTGAGATCAAGTTTTTATTTTCGACGGTTGAGATCGGTTTTTACTAATAGACGGTGGAGATGAGTTTACAAAATCAACGGTTGTGATTGTTCGTTAGGAATGGACGGTTCAGATGACACTTACGAATGGACGGTTAAGATCATTAGTTAGTATCCGACGGTTGAAATCATATATTGCTTTTCGACGGTTGAGATCGATTAATACAAAACAACGGTTGAGATGGCTTTATTGAATCAACGGCACAGATTTGTCATTATAAATGGACGGCTGACATAAAATCAAAGAATCCAACGGTTGAGATCAAGTTTTTATTTTCGACGGTTGAGATCGGTTGTTACGAATGGACGGTGCAGATGAGTTTAAGAAATCAACGGTTGTGATTGTTCATTAAGAATGGACGGTAAAGATGAAACGTACGAATGGACGGTCGAGATCATTAGTTAGTATCGGACGGTTGAGATCAAATATTTCTTTTCGACGGTTGAGATCGATTGATGCAAATAGACGGTTGAGATGATTTTATTGAATCAACGGCACGGATTTGTCATTATAAATGGACGGTTGATATAAAATCAACGAATCAACGGTTGAGATCGGTTGTTACTAATGGACGGTGCAGATGAGTTGACAAAATCAACGGTTGCAATCGTTTATTAGGAATAGACGGATCAGATTAAATAAAGGAATGGACGGTTAAGATCATTTTTTTGTATCGGACGGTTGAGATCACATATTTCTTTTGGACGGTTGAGATCGAGTGATGCAAATAGACGGTTGAGATGACTTTATTGAATCAACGGCACAGATTTGTCATTATAAATAGACGGTTGATATGAAATTATAGAATAGACGGTTGAGATCGGTTATCAAAATCGAACGGTTGATATTGAAGTTCCCTTTTCGACGGTTGAGATCGATTGTTACTAATGGACGGTGCAGATGAATTGATAAAATCAACGGTTGTATTTGTTTATTAGGGATGGACGGTTCAGATGAAATTTACTAATGAACGGTTGAGATCATTAGTAAGTATCGGACGGTTAAGATCATTAGTTAGTATCGAACGGTTAAGATCAAAGGTTGCTTTTGAACGGTTGAGATCGATTGATGCAATGGACAGTTGAGATGGATTTGTTAAATCAACGGCAGGGATTAATCATTATAAATGGACGGTTGAGATCGCCTGTTAATATCCAACGGTTGAGATCAAGTTTTTTACTAATGGATGGTGGAGATGAGTTTACTAAATCAACGGTTGCGATTGTTCATTAGGAATGGACGGTTCAGATGACACTTATGAATGGACGGTTAAGATCATTAGTTAGGATCCGACGGTTGAGATCAAATATTGCTTTTCGACGGTTGAGATCGATTAATACAAAACAACGGTTGAGATGGCTTTATTGAATCAACGGCACAGATTTGTCATTATAAATGGACGGCTGACATAAAATCAAAGAATCCAACGGTTGAGATCAAGTTTTTATTTTCGACGGTTGAGATCGGTTGTTACGAATGGACGGTGCAGATGAGTTTAAGAAATCAACGGTTGTGATTGTTCATTAAGAATGGACGGTTAAGATGAAACGTACGAATGGACGATCGAGATCATTAGTTAGTATCGGACCGTTGAGATCAAATATTTCTTTTCGACGGTTGAGATCGATTGATGCAAATAGACGGTTGAGATGATTTTATTGAATCAACGGCACGGATTTGTCATTATAAATGGACGGTTGATATAAAATCAACGAATCAACGGTTGAGATCGGTTGTTACTAATGGACGGTGTAGATGAGTTGACAAAATCAACGGTTGCAATCGTTTATTAGGAATAGACGGATCAGATTAAATATAGGAATGGACGGTTGAAATCATTTTTTGTATCGGACGGTTGAGATCACATATTTCTTTTCGACGGTTGAGATGACTTTATTGAATCAACGGCACGGATTTGTCATTATAAATGGACGGTTGAGATCAATCTAATCAACGATTTCATCAAATGGAATGGAGGTCGGACTTTTGAAACACCGGGGAAGCCAATGGCGGCACTGAGCCACCGCATGCGAAGCTTCATCCGCCACTTCTCTTCCAACGGAGGCGGCGGAGCAACCAAAGTTCCCGTACTCTATAGAAGCCCAGGTATCGAAGAATCAGATGCTGCGACTCTGCAGCTCCTCTCGTGGGGCCGAGGCGGGTCTGGTCAGCTCGGCGGCGGATTGGAGGAGAACCGCATGTACCCCTCTCCGGTATGCGAAATTATCCTCCGCTCTGATCAGTTGTTTGCTCTCTCTCCGACGCCGGGTGGACTCGACGGTGACCCGCCGAGAGATGGGTCAAGTCTTCGGATCGGAATCTCTTGTGGGTTGTTCCATTCAGGTCTGATCATTGACGGGAGTCTTTGGATTTGGGGCAAAGGCGACGGCGGTCGGCTAGGGTTCGGCCATGAGAATCCCGTGTTTGTGCCGAATTTGAACCCACATTTCGACGAGCACACCGTCCGCTGCATCGCTCTGGGTGGCTTGCATTCGGTCGCTTTGACCAACAAAGGCGATGTCTTCACTTGGTCAGCTTGCTCGAAACCCCCATTAACCTCGATCTTCCATTGTTTCCGTGCCCGAATGTGTTTACTTCTACTGTTCGTAAAGCTACTGAAGCGTATCAATATCACACTTTTTATCAGCTTAACGTTCGGCTTGAGTAGCTGTTTGTTATTCACTCTTTTGATGTGAAGCAATGCAAGTGATGATTGAAGCTGGTTATCTTTGCTTTGTCCTCTACTTGCTACAGACAAGTCTTAGGCGATCTTATTAGTTTATTTCTTCTGTACGAAGGGAATGGCACGAGTTTAGACTTGTTTGTGCCAACTAGATTAGTTTTTGTCCAACTTGTGTTGGGTTTAAGCGTAATGCCATAACTAAAAGGTGAAGTTGCCAGGGGATATGGCGGCTTTGGTGCTCTCGGACACTCTGTTTACCACAGAGAACTTATCCCCCAACGTGTAGAAGGGCCTTGGGGATGCAAAATCTCTCGCATTGCAACCAGTGGAACACATACTGCTGCTATCACCGAGTCAGGTGTAGATTCTTTGTTTCTTGTTACATAACCAGCTTTTAGTGAATACGATTTGAGCAATTTCCTTCTGTTCACCTCCAGCTTTGTGAATTATGCAACTTGTAGAATAAGGAAGGAAGAAATAACAGTGCATTGTGTGAGGTTGAGCTCTCGATTGCATGTTCATTTGTTTGATATCACCATTCCATGCGTATAGTTTTGTACTTCATTAGGCGGGAATACGTTCTTGGTTTCAGGAGAGCTATACATGTGGGGTAGAGAGGAAGGCGATGGTAGATTAGGCCTCGGGCCTGGCCGAGGACCGAATGAAGGAGGCGGCCTTAGTATCCCTTCGAAGGTCAAAGCTTTAACAGTTCCTGTAGCTGCTGTCTCATGTGGCGGTTTCTTCACAATGGCGCTGACACAAGAGGGACAGCTCTGGAACTGGGGAGGTAAAGTCATTTAAGCCCTTCTGCTGCTACTGTTGCATTGAAAAGCGAAAGAATTCACTGAATTTTCTCTGTATTTTTTATTAGCAAATTCCAATTACGAGCTCGGTCGCGATGATAAAGTGGGAGGTTGGCAACCGAAGCCCGTGCCCACGTTAGAAGGCATCCGCATTACCCAAATCGCGTGTGGTGGATATCACTCTCTTGCCTTAACGGGTATATAAAGAATGTTCTCTACTCATTTTTCTTTCAGAGATCGCATGGGCTTGAAGAAGTTGAATTGACATTGCTTGATATGATAACAGAGGAAGGTAGAGTACTTTCATGGGGACACGGTGGTCACGGCCAATTAGGTAACTCTTCTCTCGAAAACCAGAGAGTTCCTACCGAAATCAAAGCATTGGCCGACAAAAAAACCGTCTTCATTGCCAGTGGAGGCTCCTCATCTGCAGCTATAACAGGTAAGCTCCGGCTACATAGATATTGTTTCCATCAAGTAGGAATAAGCTGTTCGGGTTAATGGATCCCGTCTGGGTCGGATCACGATATGGCAACAACTCATATGATAATCCGATCTAAACCAACCCTTCAGCATCCAAAGACATTATTAACATTTAGAATTATGATGAAAGCAAGACACTGTGGATTGGTTTTGTTGGTAATATTTTTACTGTGAAGAAACCGGATTCTTGGTTTAAAATGCAGAAGAAGGGAAACTCTACATGTGGGGAAACGCTAAAGATTTCCAGTTGGGAGTTCCTGGACTTCCGGAGATCCAAACTCACCCTGTCGAAGTCAACTTTCTAACTGGAGAAGACGACCTTCAACTGCACAACGTTCTCTCTGTCGCCATTGGCGCATCTCATGCTATGTGTTTGGTCTCAAGCTCATTCTAACCACCGCCGTATCATTTCTCCGACAATAACTGAGGTTTTTTCATGTAATGGTTATGAATTTTGGTCGAAATTATCAGAAGAGCCTTCAAATCTATGCATGGGCTTTAGATACCATACACGCCCATGTACCCATTTCTACAAACTCGTTCTTTACAAAAAAAATATATTTTGTATTTATATAATAATCATCTTATTCTGGAGTTACTGATTTTTGGAAAATGAAGGTGGTACAAGATACAACCATCAATATCATAGCCAGATGCTGTTGACTGAGACAGAACACAAACTCCATGGTCCAAAGGACCACCTCCGACCTCCGTCACCTTGTGAGCCTATTGACTTGTCACCGGTCAGGTACCTTGACCGGATTTAACCGTTCTTATCTCATTTCTTCAATAATACCAACCTGATCGTCCTTTGATCGATTGAATGCAATGTTCACCGTTCAGGCTAAACAAATAGCTGTATGATGTTGCGTAATCGAATCTCTATACCAGTTTTAAACCGGTGAATATATTGGAGTTTCGGGTTGGAATTTAAACCGGGTACGAACCAGGTTAATTCATATACAGGATGAGAGATCGTTTTCAAAAAGCCTTTTTTTCTAAAGCAAATAAATAACCCAAAAGAGAGAACCAACAAATTTAACCGAACCGGACAAAGGTCTCGAACATCACAGTCGGGTAACCTTTCATATCAAAAGTCAACCCGCCACTCACTTGACGTTGGTGATGATGAAACGGCACGCTGTGTCGCTTTCTCTTTGTCGCTTTTGGTACATAAATTAACCTCGAAGCTTGCACAAATTTGGAATCTCTACACACTTTTTTTTTTGTCGTCTCCCGTCCTTGTAATGATATGACAGTAAATCGTATTTGCAAAATATATATCCAACAAACCATTAGAGATCATATAACATTTTAAAAACAAATTAATTAATTATAAATTAAGTAATAGTACTCGACCCCCAAATTACTGTATAAGATTTTATAATCGAATTAGAAACCCTAAAGTGGACCAAATGTTATTCTAATACATATGAGTCAAACAATATGTGACAAAACGTCAAAGAGCTCATGAACGACGGTCGTACCAATGAAATTAAAATTTAAAATATATATATATATATATATATATATACACGATACATCAAAAAAAGAACATGGACCACTTTCAAGTCTCTAAGTGCTGTCCCAATCCCAAACCCGACGCATCAACTTCCCTTACCAAAACTCTCTCTTCACCCAATTTTCTATATTTACATAATTCGTTTCACACACTATATATTATAATATAACATATGGTATCACCGGATCATTAATATTGACACGTTGGACCGCTCTTAAATCCACTTTTATTTTCCATCTATCGTTTTCGTTTTTATCAGTGCTATTATGTGATAACTATATGAATATAATATCCACACAAAGTGATCTCTCCAGATATGTCACACCAACTACAAATTTCAATTTAATAATTGTAGTTTAATTAGTTGTAAGCAAAAAAATAAGAATAAAAATGTGTGGATCGTGGGTAACTTATTGACCATTTGGCATTTATTTATTTAACTATCAATGAAATATTTATTTTGGTAATTAAAAAAAATATTTATTTTGTATTGTATATGGACCGGCCCACGTTACAAATTTATTCTAAAAACATATATTTCTCGTTTTTTTTGTTAAAACATATAGTTCACTTTACGTTTAAAAATTTCATTTATGTGTTAAGTTATGTATATTATAGAACACGAAAACGGAGCCTAATAAAATTTGAGAACTAAACTATAAAAAAATGAAAATTAGAGGGGGGGGCAAAAAAGGAAGTTTGTGGGAACATGGTAGAATCATACACCTACCCGCAGACAATCCCACACTCCCCAACCGCCCAACCAAATTTTTCCGTGTGTGATTTGTATGAGATATATAACAAACGCACATGTACTAATGGGCCTACTCTCCTTCTGTGCTTCCCTACAGTATCCACTATGTACCTAGAATGGATTCCCCACATCGTAGCCGTTAAATTCTCATCTCGATCAGTAGATCGCACGGTCTATATGAGTTATACATATCCAACGGCTGTGAACTCGAGTGCTGAACGCACCATTGCGCAGGGGAACTATCTCGGGCAAGATCTTTGAAGTTGTCAAGAGAGGTTGGGGAAAAGGACAAACCGACCATCATAAGCACATCAGCCAATGGCGTATTACCACGTGTAAAGGGACCCACTTAGTTGTATGGCCACGTGGAGTCGCTATCGCGCATGGCCGGGTGGGTCCCATGATGCGCAACACCCGCGTTTGCTGCTAATCGTACGCAACGGCACGGCTTTGTTCCGTACAATTCCCTAAATCGTCCAAGTGATATCATTATATTATTTTGGTAAAATTATATTCTTATTCTGATGAATTAAATTGCCATAAAATTGATTTTTTAATCTCTATAGTAATTGTAATTGAGTCAAGAGATCTCTGATAACTAATAGCTTTACTAACCCACTTTTATTAAATCAAATTGTCTGTGATATTAAATTGTATTTACAATGTAACCAGCTTTTCACTTGATACTGAAAATAGAAAATTTTAATCTATTTATAAATTGCCTAATGTGAAAAGTGTCCTAAAACTACTGTGTCAATTACCAAGATAACTGAAAATTATAAGATATAAATCTGGAATGAGCAAAAAAGATAATTTGAGCTTATTAAAAAACGCAACAGTTAATTAGTATATTTCAATTAATTTGGGCTTTCCGATTTTTTTTAATACAGCATTGTTTTCAATGAAAGTTCGTGTAATGCACGCATTGTTAGTATTTAAAATTAAATAATTCAGGACAGATTCCATATGGTTATATAATCAAACCATTGAGTACAATGTTTTGTATGCCCTATGCGCAATACATCCACACATATATACATACATACATACATACATACACACACCATACATCAATGAAATAATCTCATAATTTATATCTTGTAATAATTATATTATAAACAAGAAATGGTCAGTCCCAAAACCAGACAAAACATGACAATCCCAAAAAAAATAAACTAAAGGGTAAAACTTATCATATTTAAAAAAAAAATACAGTCATATATTATGCCCCACTTTTTCACCCTTGAATTCATTAATTATCCGACCTTATAATATTTTTATTTTTTTGAACCCGGTTAAAGCAGGAGTAAAAAAATCAGGGGAGATAAAGACCAGTATGATCCTGATCGGTCGTCCATTGACTTTGATTCCAGTATGCATGATCAACGGTGCTGGTAAGATCAAACAGTGATTGATCCCCTTCCTCCCCTCCCCAATCCAACGGTCCAAATCCAACGACCGGGTCCGATGATCTCACCGGGAAATCAACCTGCGCCGTCTGATGATCCAGACACTGCTGGTTCGGATTTACCGAATTGCCCCCGAACCCAAACGCTGCCGTTTCATTCGTCGGCACCGTCGAAATCAAGCTCGTGAAGTTCCCCATCTCCGTGAAAACCCCAACGTCCGATGAACCTTCTCCGATCAACGCCGACCATTCGATTCCGCTTCCGTAAATTCTCGTGTTGTTCACACCATATCCAGATATGGGCACCGACGCAACCTCCGCCGCAGAAGCCGATCCCGGCCGGACTCCGGCGGAGGCGGAGGCGGTGAGGGAGGAGCTCTCGCTGCTGGAGTGAGAAGCCGATGACTTTCCTTCCCCCTCTGTGTCCGGCGTCTGTTTTCCGGCGGCTGCGGAAGAGGAGGAGGAGGAAGGCTGCTTGGATTTGGCGCGCTTGGTTTTCCGGCAGCCTCCGCCGACGGGGACGTTGCGGAGGACGCCGCCTTTAGTCCAGTAGCGACGGCAGCTCTTGCAGAAGTGACGTGGCTGGGAGAGATTGTAGTTGTTGTAGTAGCAGAACTTAGTGTTCAGGGAATTGCAACGAGGGCACTTGAGAGCCTGGTGGTGGTTATGCTGGCTCTGGTGGGCCCGCAGCCTCCGATCTCCTCCGCCCCCGCCGCCGCCACCTATGCCTCCGCTGAAGAACCTCCCCGCTCCTCCGGCGACTCCTCCGCCGCCGCAGACCATCGAGTGATGATGAATATCTTGCATTATCCTATGGAAAAACCTTAATTTTTTTTTTTGTCAATTGAATGTGTTCTACGGGCACATTTGTGGGTTTTTTTTTTGGGAAGAAGGAGAAGAAATGGAGGAAGAGTGGTGGTAGTAAGCAATAGCATGGGGAAGGCTTTTGAACTCTGACAAGGCATATCTTCATGTCTGAACAGGCAGTTTTTTATCATAAAATTACCAATCTGCCCATCTCGATTTTAATTATTTACGTTCGTCGTATAACCTATTTTCAGCTCCCGTCATTGATTATTTTTTTTTTCGGTCCATAAGAATAGTCCCCCGATCATTAATTTGCTTACGTGCCATTGGATGTTACTTTGATCAAACTATTTGCATCTCGACGATATTATATTTCAGGAAACTGATTCATTCATTGATTTTATACATATACTATATATTTATATATATGATCCACACACATGTCATTATAATAAAAAATGATATGGATCATATGTTAAACTATAGTGTTGAATCTAAGACTTAAATATAAACTCGGTTAGAATCTGGCTTGGCATGTATAATTATTAAACGGACTGAAATGATCCAACCATATGATCAAATAAATATTTACGATACAGACGCATAGGAAGAGTGAAATCTCGATTATGAGATTTTATTGTTTTCAATTTTTAAATAAGTAAACTAAACCAAAAAAAAAATGAAAATAAGTAAACGGAATGAAACGTGGACCGACACGTGAAATCAGCCCATATCAGGTCTTTCGATGAACATCCCCAAATTTTGTTATCTTTTGACAGCGAATATCTTCATTATTTTCGTAATTATTCTCCCTAGTTTATCTAAATGATACAATAAAATGATATAAAAAAAAAAGACAAAATTTTATTTATTCGCTACTGTTTTCCTGACTAATTTTCCCCGCTGTTTTTACAACTCGTTTAATATATGGCATTATAAAAGAGAGTATATTTTGAGGGATAAAAAATCGTGGCGGATGATAAGGTGGATGGGACACGTGGACGGTCGAGATGACGAGGAGGTTATACGCCCACGTAAAATCAGGTTGTCGAATTGTCGGCACACTCCGTTTCATCCGATGCGCTTTCTATCTCTGATTCGAGTTCCAGTGGTTCTCTCATCGCCACGTCACCATTTTAATTTTAAAAAATTAATACAATATCCTAAGTTGGAATGATGAAAATATACTTATTTTGCGTGCATATGTTACATATAAATGGACGTCCATTCCATGTTCCGTCCAAAATATTGTTGGAGATTCTAATGGATGGTATCTCATTATTATACCAAAGAATCAAAGCCTAACGAATACAATAATAAACCATTATTTTGTATTTTTTTTGTTGCACGTGTTTCTGTGCAAAATCATGAACGCTAAGAAAGTTTTAGTGAATAAGAAGATGGTATTTTTGTAATTTGTGTAATATATCGATGCTTTTTGGCATGCGCATAAGTTACGCATGGGGAAATTAATAGTAGATACGCAATTAGCATATGATATTTACATTAAGGAGATTAATTTTTAGCTAGAGAAATTGAATACGACGATGACGGGTCGAGGTGAACAGTTAAGTAGATGTCGGGTCGAAATTGCAAACACGACAAAAGAGTGACGATGAGACAACAACACATACATACACATATAATGCTCATTTGCATCACACGTCACGATGTCTTCCCCATATCATATAAACGCTGCAGGACTCTGTTATCTTTTATATATAAATACACATATATTTGTGTATATGTATATATACAAAGTTTTTTTTGAAGAGAAAATATAATTATACGCAGGACCCATTAATCTCGATAAAGTTCTACGTACGACAATCCATTTTCTTTTTTTTTTGATAATCTGGAAGTTCACTGTACCTTTGGTCCGACTACATCTCTCAGAGGATCGGAAAAGTCCAGATGAATGTTCTTTCCCACGTTTGGGTTTGATACGTACGAGAGAATATGTAAATAGATAAATATGTATTTTCGACTGTGACAATTTCATGTATCGTTTCACACAGACATGCAGGTACAAAACTTTCCCATGTATAACTAGCGCTGAATGCAATATTATAATAAGAAAAAACACTGCATATTTTTATTTTTTATTGTGAAAACTGTAATATATCGTTAACGTTGACACTTTTGAATTAAATACTGTTAACGTTGAAAACTTACGTCAGACGGGCGCCTCCCATGGATGCAACGTACCCCCACCGATCATGCATGTTTGTTAATGGCGTGGCTAAATTACGTTCAAACATTATAAACTTATCAATTTAAAATCCCATTTTACTATTTAACCTAGATGTGTGTGTATATAGACGAACATCGATCTACATTCATCTTACAAATATATATAGGAGGATTTTAAAAGAGTCGGGTATTAGATATTTATATATAAGATAAATAAAATAGATGATATATGAGTTTAATATTATTAGAAATATATTATTAATATTAAAATTTATTAATTTAATTAAATAAAACTAATTCTAACATTATTGGAAACGTATTGTTATACAAGCATCAAGCATGTATGTGCATAAACAATATATATATATCAATGTTTGTTGGACCGTATGGATATCTTAATGACGCTGATTGGGCAACTTAAATAGGTCCATGTTCGTATAATTTATGGTTACCATTGTCACGACTCATCAGTGATGTTTCCTCTAATTTAGTCGTTTTTGAGGAAAAAAAAAACGTAATCCCAAAGGATAATACCATATTAATTTTATTAATATGCTAAGTCATATGTTTAATGACTTTAAAATACAATGTATACATATCGATCATACGATTATTAATTTTATTATTATAAATTACAAAATATCCAATTAATAAAAAAACTATAAAAAAACTTAAGACTTTTAAAATTTTATGAATTTTCTCATTTTTTTGCTGCAGTTTTTAAATTAATTCGTTGATTTTGTTGATAATTTTTTTACTATTGACAAACTACGTGATACACCATATTAATGACGTCACAATTAGTACCGCAGTGAACAACAACAAAATATACGTACATATATATAGACATAATAACATACATATGCACATATATAGGATTAACTACATCAATACAAAAGTAAAATGTAAATTCAGATTTTTTTATTAAAAAAAGATGTTCATATTTTTTTTAGAATTTTGAAAGTTGAGGATTGTTTTTATTATTATTATAGATATTGTGTTTTTATCGGTATGGAATTTAATGTTGTGGAATGCCCCATGACTCCATGAGCGATATATATATATATATATACAGTAGTACCAAGGAGCCCTTATTGGAACACAGGTGTCCTTCGACATGAGCTAAGATTATGTTACACGCGCGATCCAATTCAGATTCCATAAAAAGATTTGGCTCATTCACATTCACATATATTGTGTACACGCACATCTATATAGATGTATGTATGCATCTGTATCCTTTGGCCCATATGTGTTGTATCAAATTCGTGTCCGCACCAATCAATATATGTACGTATTAATTATTTCAAAGGTTGAAGAAGAAAACTAAAACTTTGGGGGTATGTTAGAGAAAATAAATTTTGATTTTGGAGTGTACTGTACTGTGCAATGGATAGTTGATTGATAAAAACGACGTGACCTGTGTGTTTAATGGAGGTCACTGTCGCAAGCCACGAGGAAAGGCTGTAAGCTTCCGAAGGCCCAGTGGGCCCTCACGAACTTACATCCCATCCCAATGCCCCTCACGTGCTTATTGGGCCCGACAGGCCCATTACCTGTCATCTCCACTGACATTCACCTCTCTTCAAGTCAGTTCCCTCTTTCACACACGCACATACATTTACATACACACATACATACAATTGTCTTTATGTTACGATGGGGTGATCACATTTATTATTTCAAAGAATCTAAGACATGCGACGACGAAAACAAAACCACTATCCAAGTTCCCGTACCAAGAAGTTAAATACTTTTGGAATATTAAAAAAAAAGAAGCAGATGGGACCAATGGATTATATATATAGCAGCTCAAATTCTAGAATGTTTTTTTTATATATAGAAAACTGGAAAATAATTTGAGCTTTACAAATAAAATCTGCGTAACAGAATACGAGATCCAAGATCGTCGCAACCATAAGCGGGCGAAGTACAATGAACATGTAGTATTCATCATAAGAATTTATTTCTGATAGTCAAGTAATGATCATATACTAATACGGAATATAATTGAATGTATTATATTGTATATATATAGTAGTTCGTCCAACTGAATGTGCAGTCTAGTTTCAGTTTAATGGTACAAAAGCCACGTACAGTAGTCAATATAATCGAGCCAATAAAATATAAGTCGAATATTACACGGGAAAGCAAAGAGGAAAACGACTCAGAAAGTGAAATGAGAAGTAAAACTGTTGGTGGGGACTGAGGAGGGAACCTCATAAATGAAGGCAGAGGAGCTTCACGAAAACATGGAAGCTTTCCCCAATGCTTATCGTCAAATAAAATCCCCCAAGAAAAAAATATTAATGAGAGGGAAGATAGGAAGTGGAAAGTGGTACCGGTGGGGTTTCTAGATTCTGTCGGGTCTGAGTTTCTTACGGTTTCTGTTGCTGTGACCTTCCTCCTCTCCCGTTTCCGTTCTCGGTCGTTTCCCTCCGACTTCCTCATCCTACCCATTGAAAATTATACAAATACGTCACTTTGTTGGTATAATGTGTGTGAAAACATTTAGTTATGGTACCATAAGAGTGGAAGGAGCAGGGCGTTGTTTGGCGAGCTCGATTTGGACAGAGATGCTGGCTTTTGACATGTCCACTCCCGAACTCTTCAGTGCTTCTTTCAGCCTCTTCATCAACCTTTTCCCACCCACCCAACAAATCAAATTTATGTTTTATGCTTTAGTTCATTTGTCTGAACAACAACCGAGGGAGGGAGAGAGAGAGAGATGGAGGGGAATGGACCCGCTCACCCTTGGGAGTAAACAGTAGATATGCTAATGGTACCACCGCCAATTACCAAATCCCCCTCCTCTCCTTTCGGTTTCCCACTCTCTGACGCCACCACCTCCCACGACGACCCCGACTTCGGCCTCTCCTCCGACACCACTCTCGTCTGGAACTGAGATACCGGGCTTCCTGTCAGCACCGTAGGACCAGCTGCGTAGAAGCTGCTGTGCTTTATAGACATTGGAAACGGACATTGTTGATCCATCGCTGTTTGGGTCATTGCAATCACGCTGTTTTTCTCTTCCAACTTGGGTGGTCCAAAGGCTACGGTTCCTTCTGCTGGATGTTGGCTGTTGTTCCTCTTTTTTAAATTTTCAAGGAAAAAAACAATCATTTTAATTTATATAATTTGTATGGAACGACCTCGAAATTGCAAATGAAACCTCTGGTTCTTACCCAGTTCATTAGCTTCCCAGGCTCTGGGTTCCACCCCTGGTAGCAGCCTTCGTACTTGTTTACTTTCTCCTGTAAGAACTGAATATACTCTATCACCTGGTACATAAAAAAAAAAGTTACATATTTTGAGAATCATTGACGTTTATCAATGATATGAACTTATGTGTTTATAGCGAAGTGATATATTTATTTTCGAAAGAACATTGCTTACCTCTAGCAAGAACGATGCCTTGTCCCGCTTATGGTCGCTGTTAGGGATCAGTTGTCTCAACATCTGAAACCTGAGGACATTCATTCATAAAAATTGGTCAGGATTTGCTGTACTCTGACCAATGCCGTAAGGCACTGTCCATGGAGAATCACCTATCATTGATCTTGCTCCTCCTCCGCTGCTCTGTCGCAGAATGTTTTGACCTAGGCGTGTTTGGCTTTTGATCATTACCAGTGCTCTTCCCGTCTACTCTTACCCTCAAATCCACTGCAAAATGAAGGAAGGAACTTGAACAAGCAAGCAAGCAACGGAACACCCATATAGTTGTTACTCGCATTCCATAAGAAAAATGCTATATAGCTGTCACAAAATTAAGCTTGTAAAGCATTTGGTTTTTAAATGCCAGAGGTTTTAGCTTGTGGAAGGAAAACAAATTCGAGAGACCCGATTGTATGGATACATATTCTAACCTTTCTGGCTAGTGGAGGGACTCTCTTTCTTCATGATGAACTCTTCCTCGTCGTCATCTCCGTCATTGTCCTGGGAACTCCCTTTTGCTGAACGTATCATGTCCATGAAGCTCTGGCTCTTCAGTCCGGACACCCTGTGTGATGACATTCCCAACAAACCTCATGGTCAGCATGTGCATTCCGCAATCTCTAACATAAGACAAATATCCAATAGACTGATCTAGTAAAAGAGAGGAGGAGATGACTCACTGAGAGGAAGAGCGAGAACTGAAGTTGCTCCTGTTGTTCGTCGTCGTTGATGACTGTGACTGTCGCTCTGGGCCAGGCCATTGCCCCGCTGACGCTGCATCTGCTCACAATCAGAATCCTACTTTAGAATGGTGTCCTCCAGAACTCGTGCAACGCTCTCTATCCCATTTACATATATAATGCATCATGGTGGAAACCGAAATACGACATACATCTTTGTATATATAAATGAGTGATATTTTTTTTTGTTAAAATAAATGAGAGAAATATTGCTGCTGTCTTTTTTTTTCCGGTTACCTAGCATGCTCGCTCTCTCCCCGACATTCTCCTTCCTTGTCTGTCCCTTTTTCCTCGCAGATTCCTCCCACAGAGTGAACCCACCTGGAGCATATGAGCTGCAGTTGGAATTCTCGTCGGTGTTTCTCTCACTACCACTTGCTTGAGCCACCGTAAACACTGGCGACACTTCCGGTTTAGGAATTCTATGATGAAAGTAGGGAATGTGGCTGATCATGTACGTCCCTATACCTCCCGGGAGCACGTGCTGATCCACTGAAGATGGCGGTGGGGCTGGTGGTGGAGGCTTCTCAGACGCCAACGTCTGGATGCTGCTGCTGGTTTCCTCCTTTGTTCCACTTCTCCCAACACGCTCCAACGGTTGCAGAAAATCGTGGGTTTTCAGGTGTCCACCTGCTTAGACATAAGCAGAGTAGAAAAGCATGGGGTTAACCAGCGAACATACACTACCCAAAACCCGAATATCTATTTAAGACAACTTATGTGTTTGATATGTTCAGACAGTAGATCACACTTGGGAATGTGTAATAAAAGTGCCCAATGGCGAACATGCCTCCCCCAACAAAATCTAAAAATGAAACTACGCAACCCAGATCTGGCGTGAATCACGTGATGCATCAGTTTATGTTTTCGATACATTAACCGTACAGAATGGTGTCTGCGCGCGCGCGCGTCTGTAGATACACATAATAGATATATGTTTGTCAAATCTCGTGTACGAATTTAGATCTCAAGCATATAGAAACAGAAACATCATCATTCATCATCATAAGCATCAAGATCTATAAAAAAACAAATGGATTCTGATTCCAAAAAGCAGACAGGTAAATCCATCAAACAGTCCCCTTTCCAGGTTTCAACAGTTTGGGCCAAGTAGGGCCCAAATTCTGATGGCCCGTGATCCATGATTTGCAGTAAGCTCACATGCACGCGCGCGCAACCGAAAAACGTGACGCTTAAATAAATTCCTCATTTTTGCTTTTTTTAATATCTTTAGTTGCTCTCATTTAGTACTTTACTTCCACACACATACATATATAACAAAAATAATAATAATCATAATAATAATACAAATGATAATGATAATACATATTTAAAATGACGAGAAGAAGTTTGAAAGATACCTTGAGAAGAAGTCCTTGGATCTGGTGGGACGGTTGAATGACTGCAGAGCGATAAAAAATCATGTGTTGGTTTTCTCCCTGTGGAAAATCTTCTAAATCAAACTTGAACACAGATAATCCTCTTCTTCATCTTTTTTCTTTTTCCAAAGAATAAATCTGATTATTTTTTAGAAACCATTAAAAGAAAATCTGAAGATAGCAATACCTTCGGTTTCGAAGGGACGAGGCTGAGGAAGCTCCATGAATAGCAATCGCGACGTTTTGGTTGAATTTTGAATTACAGGCTAATTCAACGCGGGAATCTCAGAACTCTGCACTCGATTCGGTTTTCGACGGAATTCTTGGGAAATTCCGTGAGTGGAAATGCAGATTCCGAAATTCGGAAGCTAATCGCTCAGATCTGCGACTCCGAACTGCCGATTCAGGATGAATTTCGTCTCTGATGCTTTTTGGAAGAAAACGAGATGGAGATTATCTGAATTATGCTTTCTCAGGTACTTGTTCCCCGAGAAAGCTCCTAAACAACTGGATGTCAGCTCGAATTTTGCAGAATTCTGCCTCCACCGCAAAGTTTTTCCGTCCTAATCCCCACAAAACGCAGAGATGACGGAAAATCGGAGAGGTAACTGACTCCGCCAGAAGAAATCACCGGAAAACCCTTGAAATTCTCAGATTCGAACGATCTGCCATCACAATTTCGGACAAAATCATGGCTCAACCATAATTCGGCATATTTCGAAGCTCAAACCATCAGAATTTTGCAAAATTCAAGTCAAACCACGAAGACGGAGATCCAAACGCAGAATTCCGAATCAAATCAAGTAAATATAGAGAAAAAGGACGCAAGTATGAAGAAAGGGCGCGAGAATTACTTTTTTCACCAGAATTCTGCGTCGAAGTTTGGATCTCCAGGTCGCCAAATGGGAAGAAAACGAAAAAGAGTTTGAATTCCGACGACTTGAATTACCACAAGACTCTTCAGTGGGATCGGAGGTGATAATTACAGCGAGAGAAGAGAGCACACTTTTTTTTAACTTTTTTTTTTTCGTACCGAATCTCTCACTCTGCGTATTGGGAGGAAGTGAGAAGACGGAGATCTTTTATACCGTCGTGACTGCGTTCCCCGTTTCACAGCGACTGAGTCCCATCTAAACGGCGTTAATCTAACGGCGTCAGGTTTAGGGGCTTGACGCCGTTGGGGCCGCTGTCAAGTTGCGTGGTTGAAGATAAAACGGGATTATCCAGTTAGCGGCGCTAAAAAAAATAATTTTTATATTTATTTTTTTTGTTCCGTTCGGCGATCCCGATCATATTTTTATACTATTTAATTTATGATTTTTCTATTAATTTTAAAATTTTGGCCACTGCAAATGAGCTTCTTGTCCGTGCGTGCCTGTAAAAGTACTTTCTGAATCTTTTATGTATAAATTAAAATTTAAACTGGAGAAAAAAAATAAACTGTTGACGAAGTTAATAATACTGATTACTACTAATTAACTGGTTCTGTTATTATATATGCATTTTTATAGATAAATAATTTCATAGAAACATAATATATGTAAAGCCAATATCTATTTCGCAAGAGTTCTAAGTATCACGTGTATACTACATATTAATTGCGTACATAACCAATATATTAATGGATGTGTATTAGTTTTATTCTTTTGTATTATATGCGCAAAAAATAATAAATTTTGTTTAACATGTAAGTAACTGTATACAAAAATATTTTAAAAAAATATTTGAAAATGAACTGATAATAAAAGTATATATAGTAATGTATGTTATGTATTCTAATTATATTCTTTTATATATAAATTTTATTCAATTCCATAAGTGCAGTTAAGAAATTTTATACTTGATTTGTTTTAAAATTAATATCCGGAATTTAAAAAAAAATCATATTTTACCCGATCAAAAACATCATATTGGCAGTAAAAGTTGTAATATAGCTTGGAATAAAATTCTTAATGGTAGTGAAGGTGTTACGTACAATGATCACGTGACAAAGTTACTTAGAGGTTGACTTGGGAACATGTATCCGTTGACTCCACGTGATTAATAAAACGAGTTTCCAGTAAAATTAATTATATAAGCACATCTAAATCTAATTAATCTCACTCGCTGTGCCTATGATTAGTGGCACGGATCTCCATTTAACCCTGAAACGACGCAGTTTTGCCTAATCCTTGTCATAATTTCCTTCGTTACTTTTCTGTGCCGAAATGGAATATATAGATATACAAACAGAGCTTCGTTTATAATAAAAAAAAAAACTGACTGAAACACGTAATTAAAAAAAAAAAGGATGCCAACGAATACATATATTAAAACAAATTTGCTTTTGGAAGTTAATCATAAAAGAAATTAGCAGTTAATAATTCTAATATATGTAAGCCCCTTTAATCGTCAATGAATAGTTTATTATATAATACTATATTTTCATTTTAAATTTTGATGCTAACTGTGATGAAGGTCACATGCAAACTTGATTGAAGTTGGTATATTTTTTTTTGTATATTCATGCATATGCTCGTATGCCACATATAGACGACAAATACATTTGTTATATATATGTTATATATATATATATATTGTGCTGACATTGTGTGTAACCCATTTTAAGCGGTTTGATATGAGTTGATTTAGAATGTCAATTGGTTAGAGAAAAGTTAGATAAAAAAAACTTCGTATATTATTATCATTTGAATATTATACAAAAAAATAAAATTTCTCTAACTCTTAACTCTATTTGAATTTCACAAAATCCAACGGTCTATAGTATGATATCTAAACAGCTTGGCGGTGACACCTTTCTCTTTTTCTCTTTTCCCTTCTCTTTCTTGCTTTGTGTGTGCGCTGGCCCGTTCCTTTTTACTATTTGATTTTTATATATATATTAATCAAATTAATAATAAAAAGGAATATATATATATATATATATATATATATATATATATATCACTAGGCCGACAACTATTCTTCTTGATTATTGAATTAGAAAATGCAATGAACAAGAAAAAAAATAGATGAGTTTAGTAATTAGAACTAAAGATATACAGTATATACGGGGATCTCCCCCATCTCTGTTGGTTTGAGAGCCCACTTCCTGAACAATAGGTCGTAGGTTCAACACCCAGGGTATGGAGATTTCCCCTCCGGCCACCTTCGGGTGCTTCACATCCCACACGTGTGGTGCCGGTTGTGCGTGTGGGTCGGGATTAGTTTGGGTCCTTTGGGTCTGGGATTACCCGGTTATCAAAAAAAAAGAAAGATATACAGTATACAATAGTCAATAGCATCCATGCTCTTCCCTTTTAGGTTCATGTCTCATCACGGATTAGTGAGGTAGAAAATAATTTAGTGGGATACAGAAATATTCTGAAACTGAAAAAAAAAGGGATGCCGAAAATATTTTAAATTATATACACAAATCAAACTTTAATATTATTATATGATAATTTATTGTAAACAAATATAAATTTTGAAGATGTATGATAAAAATAACAAGGCATCTAGTATTATACAAATTTTATATATATTATATCGGTATCAGAGGAGACTTGCATTTAATTTGTTTCTACCATTACATGGTTATTCATAATATATTTCCGAATTGTTTAACCTAACCTATGTGAGATCTGTTTATATATATGTTTTTTGGTTGAAAGATCTGTTTATATTGGGAATTGTGTTGGGTAATGATGGGAGTTTAGGGGACATACATGCATTATTAACTTTGTTACATATATATATATATATATATATGCGTGTGTGTGTGTGTGTGTGTGTAAGGAACAAAGACAGCCTTTTCTTTGTGCAATTCCATTAACAATGGTCTGAAACCTAAATCAATACCATAATCATTTGACCTAAAGTAAAACCCATTATTAATTTGCTGTGTGTGAATACATTTGAACAAATAAAAAAAAGAGGGAAAAACATAATTTCAAAGTGTAAAAACACTATAAACGATCACCATCTCCCACTTGGATGTAAACCTAGTACGTAGCCAGCCATCCAACACACACGATCATATATATATATATGTATGTATGTATAATTATAACTAGGTATGCATAATGCATGTTCAAAAGGACCACATTTTCAAGACCATGCACGCTGCAGCGAATATCTCTCAATGGAGATTAGCATGAAAATACCCCTATTTACATATATATATAGACACACATAAATGTGTATTCTGGTATTATAAATATCCTATAATCAATATTGTGCTCTATAAAAATCAGGCAGCATGATTGCCACGTAATATTGAAAATGATATTTTAAGAGGAAAATTACGACGGAAGAAAATTTAAAAAATAATAATAATAAAGAAGAGTTAGGGACTAGACAAGCTGCTTGGATCACATGAGTTACAATAAATACTACAGAATTTTTTTTTATAAAAAAAAAAACAGAACATTCCCCCGCACTCTGTCCGCTTTGTCCCGTGAGTAGTTCGGTTGTTGCCTAAACTAAACACGCTTTCTACTTTTCGTTCCGTATGTGTAATGATTTGCGATAACAAAAAAATAAATAAATAATTCTAATGCGATCTTTATTTTTATTAAACATTTTCGTGTACAATTTGGTTTCTAATTAATCTTGTAAATTTTACAACGCTATCAGATGCATGCATGTTTACATGTTCCTTTTTAATCATTTCAATTGATTTTAATAGCTTCCAAAATATTAAGTTCAAGATTTAATTTATGGTGATTATACGATCTATGATTATTTATGGAAAACATATCTAAAAACTCACTAATTAAAATGATAATAATATATAAGATCGTTAAAATTATTGGAAGAAAATAGCAATCGTTGTCTCGTTAGTAGGAGTCATGGATACATTTTCTATATTAAAAGCTGTAATGATAGTAGAAATGAAAACACCAAAATTCTTCGATTTTATTTCGAGATATTAAAATCTGTCGGTTAGTTTACCGAATTATGGTAATAAGTTCAATTTAACGGTTAATATTTGATAATATGGTTACATGTTTTCACAATAATAATAATAATACCTTTTCAAAAAAAAATAAAAAAAAATACGAAATACCATTAAGCAAATTTTATTTCAAAGGACAAGAAAGAAAACAGTTAACGAAAAAACACTTTTGTTGGCGATAAAAACAAAAAGGTCACGTGAGATGAAGGAAAGAAATGCGACGTCGTTTTCGATCTTAGAGTGGGCGCCACCACTGACCTACAGCTCACGTGCCAAAAATTACAAGAGGAACATCGGGACAATTCAAACAAACAGAGGGGCATTTTGGTAATAAAAATGTTTTTAGGGATTTTTTCTTGAATCCTGATGGGCCAAACCCAACCGACCTAACCCACATCCTCCTTAACCGTCAATGGTCTTGTCGGGCCCACACGTGTCTCTCTCATCATCATTTTTATATTCGATTTATTAAATTTATACATCTATATATATATATATATATGTATTTGATAATTCGTATTATACATCAAGTTAATATGAAAATCATGGAAAGAGTAATGGCTAAAATATAAAGTATTTACCTGAAGTGTACACAATTAGATTATATCAGAACTATCCTGTGGAAAAACCTATAATATTTTATAAAACTTATGTAATTACCTCTATGGATGAGTATAATAATGATTCATGATTAAACTATGCTAAATATTTTTTAGAACCAGACATATTCACCCAAAGATAAATTTTATGACGGCGTCAGAGAAACATAAAAAAGAGAGAAACAAGACAGAATGCTGTTTAACAAACTAACAAAAGATATCTTTTTTTAAAAAATACCAACAAATAGGCTAATTACTATAAACATGCTTATCCACTTATTTCAAATGATTAATTTTTATAAATATGAAAATAATTGACTAGAGCTTTCGTAGTTAATACTACTACGAGTCCTGGACCACCGCATAATGTGTGGTCGATTGACAATTTTGCCCCTCAGTTTTTGTTCTAGCTTTCAAAGACCATAAAAAACGAAGGATATGAAAATAAAATAAAAGGGCATTACAAATAAATCGCGATCTAAAAATGCCCTTAACTTAGTTTGCCGATTGAAAGGTATATTA